TAGGCAGCTCCCACATCCCTCGCCTGCGACCTTCTGACGGGCCGGCCTATGGGCCGGCTCAAACCGGCGTGGACCTCACAGAATACCGGCGTGAAGTGGAAGCTCTGCTTCCGCGTTTCGTCTGTTGAGTGCAGGTGGCCGGAGGCCCAAATCCATCCCCCCATCAACATGGTAGCGGAATTAAATGATGATAGACTACCCCACGAGGGTACCAGCACCCCTGAAGAATCCCTCGCTGAGCATCCACGACAATGTTTCTCCATTTCTGAGCGTGGGTGCTCAGGCTACCCCGCGTATTCTGGGGGGGGGGGGGAATTCCGCTCAAGACTACAACTGCTCGGGGAAAACTGAGCAACAAGACCAAGGCGACCCCTGCCACGCTGTCCGTGAATTTCTGCAATATCAGGGGACTTCACTCTAACCTAAACGCCGTCCACTACCATCGACCGGCTCTGCTCTTTCTGACCGAGACGCAGGTGTCCTCTACGGCTGGTGTCTCGTATCTCTCCTACCCGGGGTACAAACTGGAACACTTCTTTGTGCCTCGGGCTGGAGTTTGCGTTTACGTCAGAGAGCATATCTGTTCTCGACGCCTCGGCAGTCTTGAAGGTTCGGACCTGTCCATACTTTGGCTACGAGTAGACAGCGACGACCATCCGCGCGTCTACGGGTGCCTCTATAGGTCCCATAGCGGTAATACCGAAATAGACTGACTCTTCGACCACGTGCAAATGGCTACAGATTCGTTGCTACAGCAGATCCCCTCCGCAGAGATCGTGATCCTCGGCGACTTTAACGCCCATCACGCCGAATGGCTTGGTTCACGTTTAACCGATCATGAGGGGAGATCTGTTCATGATTTTGCCTTGGCATATGGTCTGACACAACTAGTTACTTCGCCTACGCGGATTCCAGATGTGGAGGATCATGCACCTTCCCTGTTGGACCTTCTGCTGACCTCACCCGGACGGATATCAGATTTCCGTCGACGCCCCTTTAGGCTCCTCGGACCATTGTCTTGTTCGGAGTGTGGTGCCACTCACGCTGAAATCGCAGTTGCATTCTGCAGGCTGCCGCCGTGTTTGGCACTATAGGTCAGCCGATTGGGATGGGATGCGGTCTTTCTTTGCATCCTACCCTTGGGGGCGGGTTTGCTTCTCGCCGGACGATCCCAACGTTGTTGCGGATTCTGTCGCTGATGTGGTACTTCAGGGTATGGAACTTTTTATTCCTTCCTCTGTGGTGCCCATTGGAGGCAAATCTCAGCCATGGTTTGGTCGCTCCTGTAAAATAGCATCATGCTATAAGCAGGAGTGCTACCAAGTCTGGGCTGACGCATCAGCGTCCCGAGATGTAAACACCAGCGCTCTAAAAAAGAAGTATAATTCCGCCTCTAGGTCCTTCAAAAGAGTCATTGCCAAGGCAAAGTCAGAGCACATAGGCAGAATTGGCGAGAAACTAGTTCGCCTTCCTTCTGGAACCCGTGCATTCTGGACTCTCGCCAAGGCTATCCAGGGGAATTTCTGTCAGCCATCTCTTCCATCTCTGCACAAGGAGGACGACTCACTGGCCCATACCGCAAAGGAGAAAGCCGATCTTCTAGGCTCTTTCTTTGCGTCCAACTCGACTCTCGAAGACGGGGGGAGTACGCCGCCGACCATCCTGCGGTGTGAGTGCTCCATGCCGGAAGTGCAGTTTACACAGCGCTCGGTTCGCAAAACACTCCTCTCCCTGGACATCGGCAAGTCGAGTGGGCCTGACGGAATCCCCCCAATTGTGCTGAGGACGTGTACTTCAGAGTTGGCACCGGTTTTAACGCGTCTTTTCCGGTACTCCTACTCCCTAGGCGTAGTCCCAAAATCATGGAAGACGGCTTTCTTCCACCCGATCCCTAAAAAAAGGCGACCGCTCAGACCCGTCCAACTACCGGCCTATCGCCATCACCTGCTTGTTCTCCAAAACAATGGAGTCCATTGTAAACTGCCAGCTCATGAGGTACCTTGAGGATCACCAGCTGATTAGTGACCGCCAATACGGTTTTCGCCGTGGTCGGCCAGCTGGTGATCTTCTGGTCTACCTAGCTCACAGATGGGCGGAGGCAGTAGAGTCCAAGGGGGGAGGCATTGGCCGTTAATTTGGACATTGCGAAGGCCTTCGATCGGGTTTGGCACAAAGCGCTTCTTTCGAAGATCCCTTCCTATGGGCTTCCCGAGAAATTGAGCGATTGGATCACCAGCATTCTTGCAGATCGGGGCATCAAGGTCGTTGTAGACGGTGCAAAATCCGATTGCAAGCCTATTAATGCTGGTGTTCCACAAGGCTGCGTGCTATCGCCAACGCTGTTTCTTCTGCATATCAATGATATGTTGCAAACCCGTAACATTCATTGCTATGCAGATGACAGCACTGGTGATGCTCTTTACACCGGCCGAGCCAATATTTCTCGGGAAAACGTCTCCGAGTACCTGGACAAACTTGTGTCTGAAGTCGAGTCTTTGCTGAACAGAGTCTCGGATTGGGGGCGACTAAATCTAGTCTAGTTTAACCCCCAGAAGACACAAGTTTACGCGGTAACCGCTGAAAAGAACCCCTTTGTCGTATCTCCTCAGTTTCAAGGCACTCCCCTTGTTGCCTCAGCCAGTATCGGAATCCTCGGCGTCGACATATCGGGTGACGTGCAGTTTCGTGGTCACTTGGAAGAGAAGGCTAAATTGGCTGCTAAAAATCTCGGCGTGCTTGGCAGAGCGGGACAATATTTTATGCTGGCACATCGCCTGCAGCTTTACAAGGCGCAGGTTCGGCCGCACATGGAATACTGTTCCCATCTCTGGGCTGGGGCTCCCCAGTACCAGCTCCTTCCACTTGACCGCATCCAGCGCAGAGCGGCTCGAATCGTCGACGACCGAGTGCTTTCCGATCGGCTCGATTCACTGGCACTGCTAAGAGATGTTGCATCTCTTTGCATTTTCTTTCGCATATGCCATGGAGAGTGCTCTGAGGAATTGTTCGGATTAATCCCAGCAACCAAATTTCGTGAACGCACTACGCGGCAAACGTCCCGATACCATCCACACCATCTGAATGCTTGGCGGTCCACCACTGTACGTTTCAAGAGGAGTTTTCTTCCGCGTACAACCTCTCTGTGGAATAGTTTACTACCAGCGATTTTTCCGGACCGATACGAACTGGGGACCTTCAAGAAAAAAGAGCGTACCCCTTTCTAAAGGGCCGGCAACGCACCTGCAATTCCCCTGGTGTTGCGGTTGATCATGGGCGGCGGTAGTCACTTAACATCAGGTGAGCCGCATGCTCGTTTGCCCCCTCTTCTATAGAAAAAAAAACGCTTGGCCACCGTTAGCTTAAAATCCGGACCAAAGATGGCGTGTTGCCTCTCGACACTATATACACCAGTGACGATGTCTCAACTCACTCACTTACGGTGCTCAAATGCGCAGGTCCTAGCACAGGTGGGTGTGTTAGTCCACCGGATACACCCACTCTCCGGCGGAACCGCTCCTCTTATCTGGGCTTGGGACCGGCAGCACCAAAAAGCATAGACAGAGTTAGTTGCCTGTGCTTTTTGTTGCAGGCAGAGTTTATTACTGCTTATGAAAGTTCGCTACTGAGCATCAGGCCCTCCATCCTTCCCCTCCCCATATGAGTAAAAAATTAAGTAATTTAATAAAATCTAACGAATTCTATTTCGCATTGAAAGCAGACAATTAAAACAATTTAACGGTATTTTATTTTATTTGAGATATTTTAAAGTAAATATTAAAACAGTAAATATATGAAGAAAGTAAAATCAAAAACGAGTATAGAAAATCGCATTGATCGCACCATATTGTAACAAAAATTACTTCCTCTCGTGGATTCCCACGTCTTTAGAACATGTCGTCTTAAATTTTCGATAGACCTTATTTCAGTATTATCCCAAAGTTTTATCATTTTTACCCACAAGTTTTCTATTGGATTCTTCCACCAATCTCGATTAGTTCTCCCATACTATTTTGTGACATCCACCCCCAAAATCCAAGTGAGCAATCAAGTATGTTCGAGATTTTGTATTTACTCTCCAACATAGTAAGGGATTGTCATTTATCAGTGACTATGAAGTTCATACATACAGTGAATATATCAACAGGATGGCTGTTGTGATGTTAGTATCCTCTCCCTCATCCCTCGTGCTACTCATTGTTTCGTACATCTGCTGATGGCGATGCAAACCTTACCCGTTTTTCAGCAGAAGCATCAATATTATTACCTTGTGCTTAATTTGCAGATTTGTCTATGCTGTCAAGCAAATTCATCATTTCAGATTTAACATACTTTTGTTCAATTTGGAAAAATATTTCGTTTTGGCTTCCGAGACTTATGCACAGCAGTTGGATATACATATATTATACTAGCTTGCCAGGCATACGTTGTTCTGCCCTTTTCGACGACCCTTTGTCATGTCCTATTAAAAATTCGGGTCACTCATGGGCAAAAAACTATCCTATCTCTCAAGTTGGACCAAATTGCACACGATGTGCAAATTTGATTAAATTAGTGTAAGTAGTTTTGGAGTCCATCGCGGACAAACAACGTGACACGTAATTTATATATATATTAAGATAGGCAGTTATTTAACTTGTTTTTTTTTTTGTACGTACATCTAGTCATATGTGTATATTTTTTGTTTAAGTATAATACTTAACAAGCTTACTGTTCTTCTGATGGTACTGCCACTCCCAACCAATAAACATGTAAAATCAACTTCAAACTAGAAGGTCACAGTTGCGGTGCACCCCTGAGGGTTAGAATGAAATGCCTTACAGTCTGTAATTGTACTGCTCTATTATTTTCGAAATTAGAACACAGCATTTAGTGCACTGCCGCTTGCTAGCAGACATAAGTAAGATCTATGGTTCCAACACAATTGGACTCTGAGGCAAAAAAACCTGTATTACCTAGTATACGACACATTCTTATAAATTAGATTACATTTATTGTTTCAGAGGTAATGGCTCAACAAATATCGAGGTCGCATAGTGTCCACCAAATGCTATTGTTAATCATACCAAGATTAGCTGCCTTAAACCGAGAGGCTTTTTCAAAGAAACATCTTAAATCTACAATAAATCATCTGATTACCTTCCTAAGAGGGAGAGAGAAGGAAAAGGCTATGGCTTTTACTACATTAGGACTAGTCTGTGTTGCTGTCGAATCAGATATCCAGTTATATTTAGGAAGAATTATAGAAATTATAAGATTAACTCTCCCTGCTAAAGATGTGCCGAAAAAACGAAATGGTACTGATACTCCATTATTCAATTGTGTAACTTTGTTAGGATTTGCAATGAAAGAAGATGTTGCTAACGAGGTTAAAGAATTATTGGATCCAATGTGTGCTACAGGGTTAAGCCCGCAACTTACCACATGCTTTAAGGAACTAAGTGAAAATCTGCCATCATTAAAAACAGAAATAACGGACCGCTTACTTAATATTTTATCATTGATACTTAGAAAGAAACCATACATTAATAGCCACTCAGAGCAACACTTTGTTCATATGTTATCTACAGCGTTATTAGGAGAGCCTCATGATGCTAACAAGTTGGTGCTAGCGTTGCGTACTTTGGGTGCATTTGATTTCGAATGGAATAATACCTTAATGTCCTTTATTAGAAGATGCACAGATTATTATTTACAAAGCGAACAACACGATATCCGCTTAGAAGCTGTTAAAACTGCTGCAAAATTGCTGATTAAGGCTATCGAAAGATGCACTCAAACAAATTCACGCACATTGAGTTTAATTGTAGACGAATCACTGGGAAAACTTTTGGCTGTCGGTAGATCGGACTTTGATCAGGAAGTTCGTTATAAAGTGCTCGAGATATTTACTAATCCCATTTTTGACAAGTATTTAGCAAATGAGGAACACCTAAACTGTCTTTTCGTAGCTATTAATGATTCCAATAGTGATGTAAGTGAGTTAGCTCTGTGCTTGGTTGGCAGGTTGAGTAATATTAATCCGAGTTATACTACTCCCACTTTACGACAGTTTTTTGTACAAGTTTTAATAGAGTTACAGTATTCGGAATCAACACGAAATAAAGAACAAGCTTTGAGAATGGTCAACAACATCATATCGCATGCTCCAAGGATAACTCGACAATTTGTAGATACCATACTGAAAGTTCTTGTACCGAAACTAAAAGAAGAAGTTGGTAATTCGACTATGATTTCTTCAATTTTAAAAGCAATAGGCGACCTTGCCGAAATAAATGGTGGAGGAAATGCACTAAAACAATGGCTACCCGAATTGATATCGATTCAGTTAGAGATACTTGCTGATCCTAATCAAATCGAAAAGAGAAGTGTAGCACTATGGTCATTTGGACAAGTTGTCAGTGCAATAGGGTATGTAGTTACGCCTTATATGGAATATCCCCACCTAATGGACATGCTTCTAAACTTCTTAAAGACTGAACAGCAGGCTAGAGATCGCCGAGAAACTATACGAATATTAGGACTCTTGGGAGCCTTAGATCCATACAAGCATAGAGTAAATCAGGGCTTGATTGATTTTCAAACAGTCTCCACGTTAATACCGATTACAGAAACTACAGCGAATTATGAAAATTTTGATACAAATGTAAGTGACATGTTAGTTAATATGTCCCCGTTAGTGCTTGACGAATTTTATCCGGCAATAGCCGTTACATCTTTAATGAGGATATTACGAGATCCATTGTTAGCAAGGCATCACACGTGCGTGGTGCATGCAGTGACTTTTATTTTCCAATCATTAGGTATAAAGTGTGTCCCATATATATCCCGAGTTACTCCTAGCCTTTTATATGTCATACGTACCACTGACAACAGTAATTTTCGAGAATTTTTATTTACTCAATTAGCTCAATTAATATCTGTCGTGAAAATTCATATAAGAGCATATTTGGAAGACATTTTTGAAATAATCAGGGAGTATTGGACGCCAGATAGTCAACTACAGCCAACATTGATTTTATTGGTAGAGCACATCACAGTTGCTATTGGTACCGAATTTAAGATTTATCTCAGGAAGATCCTGCCAAATATTTTGCGAGTGTTGAAATACGACAGGAGTAAAGATAAATTTTTAACAGAAAAGCTGTTGCTGGCCATTCAAAAATTTGAGAACAATTTAGACGATGTTTTGCTGTCTATCGTTCCAGCGGTTACTGGTTTGTTTGATGGAAGGAATATTCCCACATCCATATCGAAATTGGCAATGGAAACAATTGAACATTTATCTGTGTATCTGTATTTTCGTCCATATTCAGCTGTCATTATACAGGCTCTAGCGAAAGTACTCGATAACAATCCAGTTTTACGACAAACAGCCATGAGCACCTTATGCGCTTTGATAGTGCAAATGGGACGTGAATATATCGACTACATACCATCAATTGATAGAATTTTATTGAAGCACAAAATACAATGCCCTCATTATGTAGTGCTAGTGACACGACTACAAGTAACTTCCACACTCGCTTCAGACGATGATTATTTGGATGAAACACGATCGAGGTTACGGAACAAAAAAACAGATGTAAGTACCACAAAAATTCTCTTCTTTCTTTCTTTTCCGTGGCTAATGTCCAAACTTAATTGAGGTCAGCCCTCTTGGTAATCTTTCGCCATATTGTGCGATTGTTAGTTGTTCTTTCTGACATGTTAGTAGATTTCAGGTCATTTTTTAGCGTTTGCAGCCAGGTTATTGGTGGTCGTCTACGACCTTTCTTCCCATGTTCATAACTCTTTTAGTCATATTGTCATCATTCCGTCTGATCACGTGTCCGTACCACCGTAGACGGGTTTCTCTAAGATTTTCATGCACCATAGCAACCTTGAAACCACCGCGAATATAATCGTTTCTTATTTTATCCATTCTAGAAACTCCTCCAGAGTTCAGACCAGCGTAGCACTCGGTACCAAATAAATACTCTTTATGAAATATAATTTTAGCATAACGCAATGACATAGAAAATGAACCATGTTACTAATTTAACAATTTGAATTATTTAATTTAGTTTTTTAGTGAATACTAATAACCCAACTAGAAAAACATTACATTCTTTTAGAAAAATCAAAAAAAATAAATTCAAAATAGTCGTTTAACGTGGCTGGGTATGCTGCTTGCAACACAAGTAATTTTGTTGAAACAGCATCTATATATGTATCATCTAATTATTTTTGTTTCAGGTGATGACTAACACAAATGAAATACAAGTACAAAAGCTTACATTAAACATACATAATTTGCGAAAATGTTGGTCTGTAAACGGCCTCATATCTAAAGAGGACTGGCTTGAATGGCTACGACAGCTGAGTGTTGGTTTTCTTACGGAGTCCAACAGTCCTGCCATAAGGTATTATTTATTTAATATATATTCTGCTACTTCTTCCTTTTCATCAGTTCTTAAAAGTCACTACTGTACAAGGGCCTTTCCCGTATAAGGAATCGTCACGCGTCGGCGGATTGACAATACCAAACGTCTTAAACGCTGCTGGACCTCACCGGTCTAGTTATTTTACATCGTGCCGCCATCTATCCGAAGTCATAAAAATTTTCTGGGCTTTCCTATAGTCTTCTCTTGCGACATCCATGAAACGAAATATGCTGCCATCACACAGTAGATACCATAGCTAAATTATTTACGTATATAAGATTTTGAAATTAAAAAAAATTGTTTTTAGTGTTCTGTGCCAAAATTACCAGAATGAACCGCTTAGGGAACACCTTGTGTTCATATGTAGTTATTTTAGGCAGTTACTTAAATTTTCGTCTTGACTCATAAGTATAACGTCTATTTTCATACTATACCATCACTATTCTGTATCCATAATTTTTGATCATGACGCTTTATGCTGTGTGGGGTATCAAAAAAGGACTTAAAAACTGAATTTAATATTAATAATAATGCTAAAAAATAATACAAAAAGTAAATAAGAAATATACATATTTCAAACCATATTTATGCGCTGTCGTCTCTAATTTCTTCGGTTTTAGTATATTAAATAATTATTTATTAAAACTTGGAGCAAACAAGCATTCACAGAAGTTTTTGAAAATAACAAATCCAGACATATTTATAACAACAGATATAATGAAATTTTAACAAATTGATTAGTAAATTAAGGGCCTATAAAGGTATAATTAAATTGATTAGTAATTACTACCTCGTTCAAATTCTAATTTCACCCCCACTTCTCCGCGCGTCGTATGCTATGTACCGACATGTTTGTAATCACTAATACTGTAAGTAGATAGGTCGTTAGACACTTATTTCACTAGGTTTATCTTATATATGCCTGTTCCTTTACGCCAACCCTGTCGCTTCTTATTTTTATTACGGTTATTTCCCATTTTGATTTTACGTCGTCCTGTTGCGTAATGTGTATTCTGATCGTAAGCGACACAACTTTTCTGTTCGAAAGCGAGACTGATTGGGCGGCAAGGAACAAGCTTCAAAACGCCGATAGTTTAGGTAATTTCTTTTTACAGTGAAAATAATGGTAATTTAAAAAATAAAAAAGCTATGCTTTATAGTTAGTTCAGTTAGTATGCAAAGTTTCATGATCTAATTTAAAATATTTTATGAATACTTTTTGTTTGTGAATACTCTATGTTTTTTTTTCTATCGAGAGAATTTTACGGAATCGTGTTTTCGTCTAATATAGTACTTAACATTAATCCTCAACTTTACCATATATTTATTTCAAAATAAATGCTGTAATATTTTCGGCATAACGGAGGATCTTGCTAAGTCATTTGAGGTAGTATAGGCACTTAATTTTTACAATTGCCCCTTAATGTCTTAATTTTAAGCTACAGAATATAATTTATTTTAATTCTATTTTTTATAGAATAAGAGTGAATAACGACCATACAGTCCGCCTGATGGTAAGTGGATGCTGTGGCCCATTGATATCTACATTTATCCTCGATTAATAATAAAAACGCAGATGCGTTGTCACCCCTGAGGACTAAGATGCAATGTCTCGTTTCCAGTAAAAAAAGGATCTCTACACTCACCATACGAAACACAGCAGTATTAAGCTGCTATTTTACGCTGGTATTCTGTGAGTGCGCGGTCCTTCCTCGGTCGAGCCATTCGTGCTACAACCATAATATAGCTGCAGCGTGGCTCTACCACATATGAAAAGTTTATTATTTATAATCTGTACAGGTTTTGTCCAACGGCAAATTTTTAAATTTTTCATTTATATTAAATACGTAAAAAGCGGCAATAACTAATATTTACGCCCTAGGTTAAGAATTCTCATTACAAAATAATTTTACACTTAGCATCGTTAAAAGTCCTTTTTTCTATATTATGAAAATTATAGAAGAAAGTAATCAACAATCTATTTTTATTTATATGTGAACTGAATACTGAGTGAAATCACCAGCAATGTTTTATTACGGACATTTTCAGGGCATGCTCGACTTTATCACAAAACTATCCTCAGTTAGCGAGCGAATTGTTTAACGCGGCATTCATGTCCTGCTGGACGGAGCTGGGCGACCAGCCTCGCAAGGAGCTGGTGGCAGCATTGGAACGGGCTCTTACAGTTCCTGATGTACCGGAACTGGCGTTGGCTGTTTTGAACCTGGCAGAGTTCTTGGAACATTGCGAAAAGGGAGCTCTGCCAATTCCAATTAAACTTCTCGGAGATACCGCCATCAGTTGTAGGGCGTACGCGAAAGCTCTCTACTACAAGGTATCTGAAAGCATGTTTTATTGAATGTAATAAAGTTTTCTTCTTCCCAACTTCAAAGTTTTTTCTTACTAAGTTAATCTTTTCATTTAGGAAGAAGAGTATCGCAGAAATCCTACAACACAAGTTGTCGAAGCACTAATACACATAAATAATAAACTGCAACAGAAGGAAGCAGCTAATGGACTGCTTGAGAAGGTAATAACGCAAAAGAAGAATGGAGATTGTTCGTTGAATGTTCACGTGCGTTGGTACGAAAAATTGCACAATTGGGAACAAGCGTTAGATTTGTATGATAAGAAATTAGAAACTGAGCCCCAGGACTCTGAGTCCAGGTTGGGTATGATGAGATGCTTGGAAGCAATGGGAGAGTGGAGAAAGCTTTATAATTTCACCAGCGACCAATGGGACACCATGACCGAGGATATTAAAAAGAAATGTGCCAAGATAGCCGCTGCCGCCTCATGGGGCTTGCAGGAGTGGGAGTCCATGAAAAAGTACGTAGATTGTATCCCAGAAGATACACAAGACGGTTCATTTTATCGCGCCATATTAGCTATTCACGAAGGTCAGTGGCCTGAGTCCAGACATTATATAGACGCGGCAAGAAGCTTACTAGATGGCGAATTAACTGCTGTTTTAGGCGAGAGCTATCAGAGATCATATGGAGCCCTTGTCAATGCACAGTTATTAACTGAGTTAGAAGAAGTGGTGACCTACAAGTTGGTGGAAGAAAGGAGAAGTACTATACACAGGGCTTGGTGGACTAGGCTTCAAGGCGGTCAACGCTTGGTAGAAGATTGGCGGAAGATGCTTCAAATACGTAGTCTCGTTATGACTCCTCGGGAAAATTTCCAAACATGGCTTAAATTTGCATCACTCTGCAGAAAAACTGGTTCAATAACACAGGCCCACAAAATTGTTCTCTCCATTTTGGGCTGCGATCCCATAACTAATCCTGATGTGTTATTGCGAATGCAAGATCCGAGAATTGTGTTAGCTTACAGTAAAAACTTGTGGGAGGCGGGGAATAAACGCTACGCCTACGACGTCCTGCAGAGATTTGTCGACAACTCCGAACCGGACAACGAAGATCATTGTCGATTACTAGCGAGGTGTCACTTAAAGTTGGGTACTTGGTGTGAATCTCTCCAAGAAGTTAACGAGCTATCAATCCCAGAAATTTTGAGAAACTACGCCGCGGCCACGATACTGGCTCCGGAGTGGTATAAAGCATGCCACGCTTGGGCATGCATGAATTTCGAAACGGTCTTATTTTACAAACAACAAGACAACATTTCCGAAAGTAGTCTTGCCGGTGGCTCCGGGGAGAAAAAAGTCTCTAGGGCAGAATTTATTAACACACATACCATTCCTGCTATAGAAGGGTTCTTTAAATCAATCAGCTTGTCAAACGGAAATTCTCTTCAAGACACATTAAGACTCCTTACATTGTGGTTCGACCACGGACATCACCCTGCGATATATGATGCACTATTTGAAGGGATACGTCAAATAGATATCAAAATATGGCTTCAAGTAATACCGCAACTCATAGCTCGAATCGATTCGCCGAGAAGTCTAGTTGCGAAGTTAGTCCATATTCTGTTAATAGATATAAGCAAGTCACACCCACAGGCCCTAGTATACCCGTTGACCGTGGCTACGAAATCTTCCTTCGTGACAAGGAAAACTGCCGCAAATTATATATTGAAAACAATGTGCGCTCACTCGCAAAATCTAGTCAATGAGGCTGCTATAATATCAGAGGAATTGATTAAAGTTGCAATTCTATGGCATGATCAGGTCTTTATAGCATTGGATGAAGCTTCCAGGTACATCTCTCTTTCTTTTAAAATATTTTTTTCGACAAGTTATTACATTTTTTAGTTTAAGAAAACTTATCTGTGGTTTAGAAATTTTGGATTTATTTTAGCAATTGGCAAATAACATTATATGGAGTGTTTATAGTCATTTGTAGTATAAATTTGAAATCTTTTATAGACATTATCTATTATTAGGAACTACAATCCACAAAATTAAAACTGGATATTAAGGGTGACGATAACAATGTTATTACAAATGTAAACGCGATTGGTACTGGTATAATGTAACATTTCAGTGGAATCCCGATGAGAGGCCATACAAGTATGACGTAAGCACTAAAGGGGGGATGGGGGGGGAAGGCTTTGACTTGATTATTTTTGATGACATGGGGTTATCTGTATGGTAATTACATCAGCAATATTTATTTATTTACCTTTTCGAATTTTCTGCAAAGTTTTGTCGATTTTGATTTGAACACATACGGTATGACGGGGATTTGACGAGTCTGATTATTACATTGAAGCGATAGGCATCTGACCTTTGTAAACCCAGGGGAACCAGACAAATTGGATCATGGTTACACATCTAGATATTCTAAATGTGCAAGTTTCCTCACGATCTCTTCACTCACTGCCGAAGTAGTGGTATATTCAAATCCACGTGTGTGAGGCGCGCGGTCTTATCCACTCTAAATAAGTAAATTTCTCTATAGACTATAAATTCCTTATTTCTAGACTTGTTAACTGCTCATGAACCAATAAGGAAACCAGAACAGATTAAAAATACATATGCTTATATTGTTTGTTACGTAAACATAGGATGGGGGAGGGAGGGGGGTAAGAACTTTGCTTACCGTTTGCTGACGAGGGGGAGGGGTGGTCAAATATACGTGGTAGAGCCACGATGCAGCTATATTATGGTTGTAGCACGAATAAGTCGGCTCGACCGGGGAAGGACCACGCTTTTACAGAATACCAGCGTAAAATAGCAGCTTAATACTGTTGTGTTTCGTGTGGTGAGTGTAGAGATCCGGAGACCCTTTTTTACTGTAAACTAGGGCATTCCATCTTAGTCCTCAGGGGTGACTACGCATCTGCGTTTTGATTCTTAATCGACAATAAATGTAAATGTCTATGGGCCACAGCATCCACTTACCATCAAGTGCACTGTGTGCTCGTTTGTTACCCATATTCTTTAAAAAAGAACAAAAATTCAGCTTAGGTAATACTTGAACGACCCCTAACTTGAACCTCGTTAAGTCCTAATCCTCAGTAAGACGAAAAAAATGCCATTCCCTTCCGCTGAACCTCTAAATATCGAATTATGTAGACTGTAACTCGAACAAAGTGTTATTTCCTTGCTAAGAATTGATAGTACATATTTATACTATGTAATTTTTATTTCAAAAAGCAGACTCCGTAAGTTGAAGTTAGTAAAATATAATGTCTAATTTGGAATTACCCGAACTCATAGCAATAGAATAGAATATTGTGAGTACTTTGTATACGTATAATAAATTAATACATTCATTAAACTTAAGTAACACATTTGGGTTACCTTATGTTTGTTATGTTTGGGAAAAGCTCATTAACTCGAAATTTTTTGCATTTCCCTTGACATTCGAGTTATGGAGATTCCAATGTATTTGTGCTGTTACATCCAAATAAAAAAAAGTTAAAGTATTTATAATATTGTTATCATCATCTTTACAGCCTTCTACAAGTCTACTGTTGAATATAGGCTTCCACATAGAATACCACACAACACAGTCCTGAGCGACCTGCATTCATCGATTTCCTGCGTGTCTTAGCAGCAGTTTAATAAAATTAAAGCAGCATTTTAACGAAACAAAGTTATCTTAGCAGCTAACTTTGTTTCACTAAAATGATAGCCGCATTGTTGTACATTGCTTCGTATGTTTGAAAGCTATATAGAATACACAATGTATACTCATATACATATACTTCTCAGTAGTTGATTCGAAACTTTCTTCTGCAGGTTGTATTTCAGTGAAAAAGATTACAGAGGCATGTTTAGAACACTTGATAAAATGCATACAATGCTTGACCGACCTCCGGAAACTTTGAAAGAGGTTTCCTTCCTGCAAATGTATGGTAGAGATTTACAAGAGGCGCAAAGGTGGTGTGAGCTTTATAAGGTATTAAAAAATTACTTTAACATTAAAAAGTTGAACACCACAGTCCCCTCACAGCACTCTGCATGTCGGGAATTAAAAAAAGTAAAGTTAAATGAGATTAAAAAAGTAAATAAAAAGTTTATTTTAAAAATATATAGTTTATTTAAAAAAATATATAGTATATTTTATATAAATACATTTCTGAAATTTAGATTGCTTTGCAGACACAAGCTTAGGTGTTCAACGTCCTGATATGATAGTTGATTCGGGCTACTTTAATCTTTAAAATATTAAGCTGTAATTTTGTGATCAAATGTTCATTTATCAAGTCTGTGGAAAGTATGTCAAGGCGAAAAGCGTTTATTTTATATTTTGTTTATTAAATATCTGTGTGTTTTATTAATTAATGTGCAGTTGAAAGTGAAATACAGCTTGCTTTATAATAATTTCTACAGCGGCATCAATATCGTATCTTTAGCAGTAATCGATGTTCCTATGCAAGATATATTATTTCGACCTGTATAAGGCGAAGACTATCCTGAGCATGTATGCAGACAGTTAACTTTGAACAAAATGATATAAGAGTTAAAAAAAACGACGGGTTGCACTCCTGGAGTACCGGCAGAAGTGAAAACTTGAATATTAACGTTGTGCATTTTTGATATTTTTGAATGATTAGGGAATAATTTTGCATGAATTGCTTTAATTATCACACACGTACATTCGCGCAAGCACCCTGCTCCGCCTAAATGAAACAGCAGGTGCAAAAGAGAGGGGTATACTTATACTTCCTCTCCTACGCCGCGCCAGCTCTCTCTCTCTCCATCCGTCTTACGAATTCTTACGAGTTGAGGTTCGTGACAATAAAAACTGCCGATTGAATTACCAAAATTTACACTTTTATTACCGAACAGCAATTAAAACTTAAAAGACACTAATAATTAATCACATTGATTCACTTTATTTCGCTCCGAAGCTTCGCTTGTCTCGCCAAATTCAATACTGCCCCGATCGCGTCTTGCAGCGCCTTTAAATACACCTCTTTCACCGAATATTCAAGTAAATAAACCGACCAGGCGCAGAAAGTTCGAGTGTGGGGCTTCTAGAAAGCTTAATTCTTCTGGTCGATACTAGATGGACGCTGTTGGTCGAAAGTCAAGATTGACATTTTCTAGGAAGCCCTCCTCACTCTGGTCCCCGACACTAGATGGCGCTAGTGCCAGGTACCTAACGTCAACATGGGCGTGCAACAGAATTTTCGATCAGGGTCACGTGTCCTGATGCGAGTTTAACATTTTTTACCCATTACAAAAAAGTGTACGCCCATCACGCCGAATGGCTCGGTTCACGTTTAACCGATCATGCGGGGAGATCTGTTCATGATTTTGCCTTGGCATATGGTCTGACACAACTGGTTACTTCGCCTACGCGGATTCCAGATGTGGAGGATCATGCACCTTCCCTGTTGGACCTTCTGCTGACCTCTCACCCGGACGGATATCAGATTTCCGTCGACGCCCCTTTAGGCTCCTCGGACCATTGTCTTGTCCGGAGTGTGGTGCCACTCACGCTGAAATCGCGGTTGCATTCTGCAGGCTGCCGCCGTGTTTGGCACTATAGGTCAGCCGATTGGGATGGGATGCGGTCTTTCTTTGCATCCTACCCTTGGGGGCGGGTTTGCTTCTCGCCGGATGATCCCAACGTTGTTGCGGATTCTGTCGCTGATGTGGTACTTCAGGGTATGGAACTTTTTATTCCTTCCTCTGTGGTGCCCATTGGAGGCAAATCTCAGCCATGGTTTGGTCGCTCCTGTAAAATAGCATCATGCTATAAGCAGGAGTGCTACCAGGCCTGGGCTGACGCATCAGCGTCCAGGGATGTAAACACCAGCGCTCTAAAAAGAAGTATAATTCCGCCTCTAGGTCCTTCAAAAGAGTCATTGCCAAGGCAAAGTCAGAGCACATAGGCAGAATTGGCGAGAGACTAGTTCGTCTTCCTTCTGGAACCCGTGCATTCTGGTCTCTCGCCAAGGCTGTCCAGGGGAATTTCTGTCAGCCATCTCTTCCATCTCTGCACAGGGAGGACGACTCACTGGCCCACACCGCAAAGGAGAAAGCCGATCTTCTAGGCTCTTTTTTTGCGTCTAACTCGACTCTCGATGACGGGGGGAGTACGCCGCCGACCATCCCGCGGTGTGAGTGCTCCATGCCGGAAGTGCACTTCACTCAGCGCTCGGTTCGCAAAGCACTCCTCTCCCTGGACATCCATAAGTCGAGTGGGCCTGATGGAATCCCCCCCAATTGTGCTGAGGACGTGTGCTCCAGAGTTGGCACCGGTTTTAACGCGTCTTTTCCGGTACTCCTACTCCCTAGGCGTAGTCCCAAAATCATGGAAGACGGCTTTCGTCCACCCGATCCCTAAAAAAGGCGACCGCTCAGACCCGTCCAACTACCGGCCTATCGCCATCACCTCCTTGTTCTCCAAAACAATGGAGTCCATTGTAAACTGCCAGCTCATGAGGTACCTTGAGGATCACCAGCTGATTAGTGACCGCCAATACGGTTTTCGCCGTGGTAGGTCAGCTGGTGATCTTCTGGTCTACCTAACTCACAGATGGGCGGAGGCAGTAGAGTCCAAGGGGGAGGCATTGGCCGTTAGTTTGGACATTGCGAAGGCCTTCGATCGGGTTTGGCACAAAGCGCTTCTTTCGAAGCTCCCTTCCTATGGGCTTCCCGAGAAATTGTGCGATTGGATCACCAGTTTTCTTGCAGATCGGAGCATCAAGGTCGTTGTAGACGGTGCAAGCTCCGATTGCAAGCTTATTAATGCTGGTGTTCCACAGGGCTGCGTGCTATCGCCAACGCTGTTTCTTCTGCATATCAATGATATGTTGCAAACCCGTAGCATTCATTGCTATGCAGATGACAGCACTGGTGATGCTCTTTACACCGGCCGAGCAAATATTTCTCGGGAAAACGTCTCTGAGTGCCGGGACAAACTTGTGTCTGAAGTCGAGTCTCTGCTGGACAGAGTCTCGGATTGGGGGGCGACTAAATCTAGTCCAGTTTAACCCCCAGAAGACACAAGTTTGCGCGTTAACCGCTAAAAAGAACCCCTTTGTCGTATCCCCTCAGTTTCAAGGCACTCCCCTTGTTGCCTCAGCCAGTATCGGAATCCTCGGCGTCGACATATCGAGTGACGTGCAGTTTCGTGGTCACTTGGAAGGGAAGGCCAAATTGGCCTCTAAAAAGCTTGGCGTGCTCAGCAGAGCGGGACAGTATTTCATGCCGGCACACCGCCTGCAACTTTACAAGGCGCAGGTTCGGCCGCTCATGGAATACTGTTCCCATCTCTGGGCTGGGGCTCCCCAGTACCAGCTCCTTCCACTTGACCGCATCCAGCGCAGAGCGGCTCGAATCGTCGACGACCGAGTGCTTTCCGATCGGCTCGATTCACTGGCGCTGCGAAGAGATGTTGCATCTCTTTGCGTATTTTATCGCATCTATCACGGGGAGTGCTCTGAGGAATTGTTCGGATTAATCCCAGCCGCCAAATTTCGTGAACGCACTACACGGCAAACGTCCCGATACCATCCACACCATCTGGATGCTTGGCGGTCCACCACTGTACGTTTCAAAAGGAGTTTTCTTCCGCGTACAACCTCTCTGTGGAATAATTTACCACCGGTGATTTTTCCGGACCGATACGACCTGGGGACCTTCAAGAAAAGAGCTTACTCCTTTCTAAAGGGCCGGCAACGCACCTGCAATTCCCCTGGTGTTGCGGTTGATCATGGGCGGCGGTAGTCACTTAACATCAGGTGAGCCACATGCTCGTTTGCCCCCTCTTCTATAAAAAAAAAAAAAAAAAAAAAAAAAAAAAGTGTACAACGCCGCTAAAGAAGTTTTCACTTCAAAAAAAAATAACTTAAACAACACTCATTGACTCTCATGTACTCTGTGATGATCTTGATAGTTATTTTATTTTATCCTGGTTATTTTATTTCATCGGTTCTTGATACGAGTGCAAATTCAGTCAATCGGCCGTCTACTAGTTGGTCACAAGTACATTAAAAGATTCCGTTACATAGAAAGACAGACACACACAAAGCTAATAAATAATTATAAATCTATATATATAATGAACACTGTGTGTTTTCAGGAAACGAACGAAGACCGTTACCTGAACGAGGCGTGGGACCTGTACTACCACGTGTTCCGGCGACTGTCGTCGCAGTTCCGGTCGCTGACGTCGCTGGAGCTGCAGTACGTGAGCGAGCGCTTGCACGCCTGCCGCCACCTGGAGCTGGCCGTGCCCGGCTCCTACGTGCCCCAGGAGCGCCTTATCAAAATAGACCACATCAAGAGCCAGTTGCAGGTGTCTTAATAGTTATTTTATGATGTCCTTAATATTTTATGGGTGTTGTTGTTTGTTAGATTATTAAGTATTGTTAGATTATTAAGTATAGATATTTCTTTTTATGACAAGTTTCTAAACGATTAATTGTCATTAGGATGTTCTTTTATCTTCTACATAATGCTATTTACTATATAAAAATAGTTGAGCCTCAATTTTAATTCCTAACGTCTAAAAATTATAAAAATAACTTCTTTGCTAATAATAAATATTTTACAAGTAATTATATTCACATAATTAATCACTCAAATAAAAAAGTACTTATGTTTCAAATGTTATTGTAACTAGGGAACTAGCGAGCCAATATGGCGGTATTAAAAAGACATTTTAATTTTATATATTATTGATGCGTATTGTATACATTTTGGATGAAAATGCAGGTTTATAGTCATGTAATGCAATTATAACAAAATTGTTTTAGTACATATAAGTATGTCGACTACTGATCATGAGGTCCTGGGTTCGAATCCCGGGTCGGGCCAAAAAATCAGTCATCGAGTTTTTCCGTCAAAAAATACTCAGTAGCTGCCCGGAGTTAGGAAGTTGGCGGCGTGTCACCCTCTTGCCTCAGAAAGCACGTAAAGCAAATCCGTTGGTTCTGCGCATGATCTCTCTCTTTTCGTGCTGGATTATCGTTCCATCGGATTATAAAGCCTGGCGTCGAGTACAGTAGAAACGCGTCAAATCGAAGCGAGTCGCACTTATTCGTAGTGCATCCCTCTCTAAAGAATCGAATCGAATCGCTCATTCATCGCAAACTCTTCATCAAATTAGGTTGTTTTTGCGTCATGGACAGCTAATATGAAGAGATATGAGATTTATTTCAAATACTTTTGATGAAGCAGAGGAGAATAGAAAAAGGAAACGGCGTGCTTCCAAATATTGGATACACGACATTTATTTGAAAATAAATAACTATGGTGAATTTCATCATTTATATCCCAGATTTGAAAAGGGGTCCTGTTATTTTTTTTTTCAATACTTTCATTTATCCTATAAAAAAGTTCTTCATTCATTTTTATTTAAACAAGATTTTTATGAAAACTAAATAGAAATTTATAAAAATGTCGAATGTTAATCGAATCGAATCTCATCGGCGAAGAAATTCGCCTGTCAAGCAATTCGCGCGGTCGATTCAATTCGGCGCGCAGCGGATCTTTGCTAATGGACGCAGTTTCATAGTAAATATATAGGGGGCGACTTTCTGCGATTCGATTCGACTCGGCTCAGCAAGCCTAGTGGACGCGCGCCTTTAGAGTGAGGGATTAGAGAGTGCACCTGTGCTTGCACATACACTCGGATACTATACTGCGCCGATGGCTAGTCTACGTTAAAACTGGCCGCCGGGATCGACATTCGGTCTGGAAGATATTATTATTATTAGACTGTAACAATCAAGTAACAATTTTGTCTTAATGTATACTAGCATACACAACATAGCCTTATCCTCTATTTTAACCTTTTTTGTCGTTGTAAATGCTTGCTAATGTTTTCGTTACTATTATTTGAAATTACGTCATATAAATGTCAAATATTTTTTATTTTTATTCAGGTAATAAAATCCAAACAAAGGCCACGTCGCTTAACAATTCAAGGATCTGATGGCAAACAGTACATGTTCCTACTCAAAGGTCACGAAGACCTCAGACAGGACGAGCGAGTGATGCAACTATTCGGCCTTGTTAATACGCTCCTGCAGTCCGATACAAACACTTATCGGCATGACTTAGCGATACAGCGGTATGCGGTAATCCCTCTGTCACCTAACTCTGGTCTGATAGGCTGGGTACCACAGTGCGATACATTGTACAATCTTATAAGTGACTATCGAGACAAAAAATCGAATAAACTGGCGTTGAATACCGAGCAACAAATTATGCAGCGAATGGCGTCCGACTACCAGAAGCTTATGTTAAAGCATAAGGTAAGATTTTTAACTATAAGCATGTCGTTATAATTCTTGCATATCCTCTATTTTATCATATTTCCGAATTTGAGCTATGTTTTACATAATTCATTTAAAAAAAAACTAATGTTCCATTTTGAAATTCCTCTCTAAATTGAAATATAATCTTGCTTTATTTAAAAAGAATTTGCGTCGGAAATAGTTTTGTGCGATGATATGATGAGATTAGGTGTACAATAAAGAATATATTGATTCAACGATAAAATGTTAAGTAATGCGATAAATGATACATATTTATTTATAGGTAGAAATATTCGAATACACGTTATCTCAGACACCAGGCAATGATCTGGCGAGACTACTGTGGCTCAAGAGCCCTTCTGCAGAAGCGTGGTTCGAGCGACGGACAAATTATACGCGTTCTTTGGCTGTTATGAGCATGGTCGGATATATCCTGGGCTTAGGAGACCGTCACCCGTCAAACATAATGCTGCATCGAGTCTCCGGAAAAGTATTACATATCGATTTCGGAGATTGCTTCGAAGTCACACAGACTAGAGAGAAGTTCCCGGAGAAGATACCATTCAGGCTGACTAGAATGCTGATTAATGCTATGGAGGTAAGATTTGTTACCGCGTTATCTTGACCTGCCTGTCATTACTATACTATTTGATCGTAGGTCACGTCAATCGTTTGATCCGGAATGTTCAAAAAATGTAATTACAATCATCAAAAATTTGTTGCCGTCCGGGTCAAATGAACGAATCATACACGTTTGACACATGTCTACAGCCTATCAAAATGCTGAACATAAGCAACACATGGAGTTATAAGGAGAGGCTATATCTAGAAGGGCATCTGCAGGTTTTTATGTTTTATTTGTTATTAAAGAGACGCTGCCTATATCCTGGTTTGTTTTCCTCTGTCGTGTCTTTATTTTTTTTATAGCATTGGGTGACAAACGAGCACACAGTCCACCTGATGATAAGTGGATGCTGTGGCCCATAGACATTAACATTTATCCTCAATTAATAATGAAAATGCAAATGCGTTGTCACCCCTGACGACTAAGATGGAATGCTTCGATTCCAGTAAAAAGGGTCTCCGGTTCTCTACACTCACCATGCGAAACACAGCAGCATTACGTTGGTATACTAGTTGTGAAGGTATAATATATTTGCAATGCTAAGCTGGTGAATTAAAGTAACAATCACCGAGGACTTCAGTCACTGCTCCCCGTCATCTTGCAAAAGTTAGCTCCGATCGCATGCACAGTTTCCACGAGCTTGTATATCCTGATTAGGTTATTGAATAATATGTGAAAATTTTATATAATCAACCTTTCAAACTTGTGTATTTTTAGACTGTAATTTGCCTTATCATTTAACAAGTTGTTTAGATTTATAGATAATTTAAATTTTTTGAAGAGTTATTTTTTTATCTTATCTTACGGATCGACATTAGATTTTTCCTCATATCTGAGGGTCATTGGTACCATATTATCATACCATTCGAGTATAATGGCATACAAGTCGTATAGGTACAATATAGAGTACCACTGGCTTCTAGGGCATACACTGTGGCAAACATATAATTTTATTACTTAGTGATAGGCACTGTTCCCAGTAATTTTTTTAATAATAACTTCCTTTTTGAATATGTAATGATTCCAGTTATTTCATTGTTTTTTACCAGGTAACCGGCATCGAGGGCACTTACCGCTTTACCTGCGAGTCAGTAATGCACGTACTGCACAAACATAGGGACAGTGTGATGGCTGTCTTAGAGGCCTTCGTCTACGATCCTCTCCTCAACTGGAGGCTCATCGATAATGACAGACACTCTATCACAGAGTCTTCTTTCTCCTCCGACATCGACTCCTCTTACTCCCTCCCAAGTAGGAGTAGAAATCACCTACACTACGAATCGTTAGAAATACCTCCCGAAGCTAATCTCAACAAGCGAGCGTTGGCTATTCTAAATAGAATAAGAGATAAATTGACTGGGCGAGACTTTCCACAAATAGAAGCGGTTGTCAGTGTGCCGAAACAAGTTGATATGCTAATAAAAATTGCAACTAATAATGAGAATTTATGTCAATGCTATATTGGGTGGTGTCCGTTCTGGTAATTTTTGATAATGAAAATTGACACACGTCGACATATTAATTTAGAATTTGTAATTATTCAACCGCCTTTTAAAAGTCTACAGCCGAACATAGAATGATTTTGAATATCGTGTCAAAATTTACACAACTTCCACCGTCGGTCTTCATTATTGATCCGTTGATCCAGAGTTTGGATTAGATTCAAATAACTAATTAGTAATTACTTTTCGTTTTTGTGGTTGAAAATCACATAAATCTCGAGGATAAGTCTTAAAGGAAACCAAAGTATTTATTGGACACTAGGCATTTATCTATCTAAAAAAAATGTAATTTTATTATTACACGATATTTATTAATATAAAGTACGTAGTCACGTGAGAGATGACAGTGATATTCCAATAAATTTTATCATGCATTTTCTAAACTCACCTAAAACCTTTCCCTGAACAATATTACAAATGTGGTTTTCATCTCAAGTCATGACTCATAAGTCGATTTAACCAGTCGGAAGTGCTGTATATAGGTACATATTTTGTAAATAGACTTAGAATATAGTTATTAAAAAAGGCCCACATTTGTATTTAAGACCAATTTGGACGTGGTATTATCTTTCTAAACACTCAGATATGGATAATCTTAAGATATTGTGAGATATGCGGCTGTTTCAAAATAAGTTATTTTTAGTGAAACTTAACGTTGACATTTTCTTAACGTATTACAAAGGTTGCAATATTAACACTTCTTCATCAGCTCGGACAGGTCTACTGCTGCACATAGACTTCTTCCGTTAGAAAGGATTTGCCTCATTCATCACGCTTGGCAGGCGGATTTGCATTAGCGGTACCAGACGTCTCGCAACTTGAAGCTACTTCACAGCTTACTCACTTTGCGGCTGGACATAAAATTCCGTTGGGTATTTTATGTCTCGCTGGTATTTTATATACCTTTATGGCAATACCAGACCAGACCGGAAGCCGTAGGATCTTACAGTCATTTCCCAAAGACAGATATTACAACACCACCGGTACGAAATGGTGTATTGGATACTTTACCGCCACCACACTTCAAACACGACTTTCTCTTTTATTTCTATGTATTTCGTTCTACGCTAAGAATATTTTAATTGTTTTTATTTTATACTCTTAAGGCGACAGCTCTGTATCAACTTACCTGTGTATTACTAATTTATCAAAAAAATAAAATTATATAATGAAGAAATTTACTCTTTTTTTAAATGGCTATTTCACCATACTTAAATCCTTAGATTTTTTTTTATAGAATAAGGTTGACAAACGAGCACACAGCCCATCTGATGGTAAGTGGATGCTGTGGCCTATAGAAATCCACATCTCATCTTTTATCCTCAATGAAGAATCAAAATGCTGTTGCGTTGTCACCCCAAAGAACTAAGATGGAATGCCTCGTTTCCAGTAAAAAGGGTTAGGTCTCTACACTCGTCACACGAAACACGGAAGTATTGAGCTGGTATTCTGAGAGAGTGTGGTCCTACCCCGGTCGGGCCGACCCATTCGTTCTACAGCCATATTATAACTGCAGCGGGGCTCTACCACGTAAAATTAAATTATTTTAATTTACTAGACATAATATAGTACCTAAATATAATATGAATAAAACTAGTTTTTAAATCTTAATCTAGTTTTTTTTATTACTATGGTTTGTGATGACACGTAATTAAAAAATTGTTTGTTTCTTGCCGATCTTTGACCAGCGGCCAATATTTCAATAATCGGAAGCTGTTAAGAGGGTTGTGAAGTACCGATACTGGCCAGTAGGTTTACAAAAATCCTATCTGTTTCACATCGCTCGCTCCGTGTCATCGTGCGATGGAGAGAATTGTAAATAATTGCCTACATTTCCTTTTTCAATTCCGTCCTCCATGGCGGCACTACTCCGGAGGCGTGGAGCAGCAGGCGCGGTGGTTTTGTTCTTTAAGAAAGGCGACAACGCTCTCTTAAAGAACTACAGACCGATTTCCCTTCTGAGCCGCGTCTACATGCTATTTTCGAGAGTCATTACGAATCGTCTCGCACGCAGACTCGACGTCTTCCAGCCTCCCGAACAAGCCGGTTTCCGAAAAGGCTTCAGTACCATAGACCACATACATACCCTGCGGCATATTGTACAGAAGACCGAAGAGTACAATCTGCCACTTTGCCTGGCATATGTGGACTATGAGAAAGCCTTTGATTCCGTCGAAATTTGGGCGGTGCTACAGTCCCTTCAGCGGTGCCAAGTTGACTGTCGGTATATCGAGGTGCTGAAGTGTTTATACAGTAGGGCTACGATGGCTATCCGAGTACAGAACCAGAGTTCGAAACCTATCCAACTGCAGAGAGGTGTAAGACAGGGTGATGTTATATCCCCGAAACTCTTCACCGCTGCGTTGGAAGACGTTTTCAAGCTACTGGACTGGAAAGGATACGGTATTAACATCAATGGCGAGTACATCACTCACCTTCGATTTGCCGACGATATAGTCCTTATGGCAGAATCGCTGGAGGACCTTAGCACTATGCTTAATGACCTCAATGGTGTCTCCCAACGGATAAGTCTTAAGATAAACATGGACAAAACAAAGATCATGTTTAATGTCCATATCACACTTATGCCGGTAGTTGTTTGGGGCACTATGCTTGAAGTTGTTGACGAGTACGTTTACCTGGGACAAATAGTCCGACTAGGTAAGTCCAACTTCGACCGAGAGGTCAATCGACGGATTCAACTCGACTGGGCAGCGTTCGGGAAATTACGACACATCTTCTCGTCAGGTATACCTCAATCTCTGAAAACTAAAGTGTATAACCAGTGCGTGTTGCCAGTGATGACTTACGGATCTGAGACGTGGTTCTTCACTGCTGGCCGTATGAGGACGCTCAAGGTCGCTCAGCGAGCTATGGAGAGGGCTATGCTCGGAGTTTCTCTGCGTGATAGGCTCAGAAATGAGGATATCCGCAGTAAAACCAGAGTGACCGACATAGCCCAACGGATTAGTAAGCTAAAGTGGCAATGGGCCGACCATATACCTCGAAGAACCGATAACCGATGGGGAAGAAAGGTTCTCGAGTGGCAGCCTCGTACCGGTAGGCGTAGTGTAAGGCGACCCCCCACTAGATGGAGTGACGACCTGGTAAGACATGCAGGAAGTCGATGGATGCAGGTGGCTCAGGACCGTGCTTTGTGGCATTACTTGGGGGAGGCCTATGTTCAGCAGTGGACTTGTGAAGGGCTGTAATGATGATGATGATGATGATTTCCTTTTTTAATATATTGCTTCGAGCGATTATGTTTTCACCCCTCTAAACCTTTATGAAATGAGACAATTTTGGTCTCATAAGATTTAGTAGGTATACCTTAATTTAGGTCTGTAGGTTTTTTTTTTTGGTTATTCAGTTTAGTTTAATTTAAAAATATAAAAACGCACAAAGAAGTTTTTAAGTTGCAATTTTTTCTAACACTAGCGAGCGTCCGACTCTAAACACTAAACACTGCTGCCCAGACGTGTTTAGTGGCAGACATGCTGCGAGTGAGGGGGGAAGGGAGGACGCAGGGGACGGTGACACTCGCAGTCCACTCGCAAAAAAATAGAACACGCTTCTAATCACTTTACTACGCAGATTACTAATCACTTGCACTAATCAATCGCTGTCCACACGTGTTTACTCCTAATCACTAAGCACCTACACTAATCACTAATCAAAGTTAATACAGGCCTTGACATTAAATATGAGCTACTGACTTATGTCACTCACTCTGTAACGCTTTTATAGTATAAGCTAGTAGGATATCAATGCAGTATCAGAGATTTTACACAAATGTTGGCTCTGGCCGAATTAAAATTAGAACCATAATAAGCGCAGTAGACAGAACATTCGTCCACTACACAACGCAGCGCAGTCGTCGAAATAAAAAGAATTATATGTATATAGTGAATGACCTTTTTCACAGTGGAAAAAAATAGGGTGTAACATGTGAACGGCGTAGAAGCCTATGGCACTGATATTTAACAAAAAATAAAAACATTGAATTAAGCGTTCAAAAACCTTTGCCCTTGAGCCTGTTAAGTGACAAGGTCAAAGATGCCTACTAAATTTATTGTTTTATTGCCATTCATAAAGTAGGGTGGATATGATTTGAATATATATATATAAAATAAAATTGAAGTGTCGGTCGGTAATATCGAAATTACCATCTATTGAGTTCAGAGGTTATTTACATAGGTACTATTAAACATAACTAATATATTTTGAAATATTTGTCTGTCTTCCTCACTTCACGAACAGACAAAGAACTAAACCAACAGGACTGACCAAGAATGAAGTTTAATACTTTGTTTTACGAGGAAAATACGTAAGTATCACTTTTTTTTATCCTTGTTTACGTTATTTGCTTTATTTATGAGTTGATCGGACAAAAAAATCTTCGTCTTGCAGAGCATTGATGCACACGCAGATGGCGCGATGATCTTGCTAAGTCTGTTGCTAAACGAAGTAAGATCGTGTTATAATTTTGTATAAAGTACAATTATTACCTGTAAAATGAGTTTTAGTTAAAAGCGATTAGAAATTTAAAAATAATTGAACCGGACATTCATTTTTCAAATAACTTCGCGCACTCACTGTCACGTATTAATTGTATAGCACGTTCACAACTTTAAAGCCGGCCATATACATATTTAGGCGTGTAGTGGCGGTTGAGAATATCCACTACCCCATATCTTCCCGTGGGTGTCGTAAGAGGCGACAGAGGGAGACAGGCAGGAAATGGGCAGCAGCATCTTTCTGATAACAACTGTGTTATAATAAAAAAACTGAGGTTGCCAACCCGCTCGCCAAGCGTGGCAACTATGGCAAATATCCCCCATGAGCAACGACGCAAATAAACGGCCCCCAGTCCCCGGCGGCCCCGCTATTCCTGGCTACGGTGGCGACCATGGTAACGGCGGGGCAGGGGGTGCTAAGAATCTCCGGTGGAGGTTCGGTTGCCACCTACGACGACTCGACCT